GATTTTTGTAGGGTCGAATATAAGGAAGGAAGCTTAAAAGAAGAGTAATTTGAGTCTCATCGTGAAGAGATGGATTTTAATCACATGGTTTGATGATCGGATTTTTGAGCTGCTACTTAGAGTTATGATAGATTGCTTAGGAATATTTGGAAACATAGTTTTCATTTGTATTTGTGTTGTAAGGACAAGTTTTTCCGTAATTTTTTTAAATAAAGTAAATTTTGATTTAATATTATTTTACGTTTCCTTGCAATGGCATTTATGAAAATTGGTGTTTATATTTCTATTGTTAGCAATATTGAGAATGGATTTGATTCTTAGTTATATCGATTGTGGTAGTGTCATAATTTACCAAATGAGGAAAGATTCTCATTGCCCAAGTTTAATTGGACAAAAACTTGGAATCATGCAATAATGAATTGTGTGATGTATGAGAATCTAGATCTATGGGAAATTAAGGCTAATTCCTTTTTCACATGTATATGTGATTCAAGTGAAAGACTAAAAGATCTAGTACACATTGATGTGGATTGGTCAGATCCGCCACAAAGGATGATAAAGTCTATTCGTCATGACTTACTATTTGTTTAGTAAATACGGTTATACTTACAAGATTAAGTGTAATTCTAATAACTTGAAAAGTTTCAAAGTATAGCAGAACGAATAAGAAGAATCAATTAGGCGGAAAGATAAAAGTTTCTCCAATCTGAAAGGAAAGGAGAGTACTTTAGTATCATGTTTTATGATCATCCTAATGATTATAGAACCATGTCAAAATTGATCCTCTGAAGACACCTTAGTGCATTTGTATGGCCAAGAAGAGGTATCGAGAATTATTGAAATGGTTAAATAAAGAAGATGAGTCATACTTCGTTCCAAGATCAAGTTTTGGAGTCATACTCTAGAAAGTACCTTGAGTGACATGTTCTAAGTAGGTTTACAACACCTCATGAAATGTGGAGTAGAAATGTTTCTTACTCTTGCACATTTGAAATCGGTAGTTGTGATGTTTTGGCTAAAAAAAAGACTGACTAAGACTAATTACATGAAGTGTTATCTTGATAGGAACCTGCACCAACTCTTGAATATTTTTTGTCAAGGAATGTTTCTTGACAGAGAATCTTATATGCCAAGAGGTCAGTGGGAGTCTTAATTGTCTTGAATAGTTTCAGGAGCTAATCAAGAATAAACCTTTTAGTAATCACTAGCACACAACCTGAGGTTGATAACCTATCGTGTTGACATATTCTTGTTTCTATGCCCATTCCAATTAAGTTGACTATGTATGTGGGTTCTGTGAGTTCTCATTTGATTGCATAAGGTAAAGCACCTTGATAAGTGAAAGTACATTGATCAGTGAGGGTGAGTTGGTCAATAACTTGGAAGCAATGGTAGGCCCTTGTACTCCCAGATGGCAAGAAATTAAGAATAAGCAGGTTCAGTCCATATGAGTTTGAAATTGTCATAGACCCTGTCTTGTGATAGTGGTTCGAAATGACAAGTTCACATGGATAGGAGCACATACACCATAAAATCTAAGTGGAAAGAGGTTTCTATCTACATCATGAAAATGATTGTGAGGAAACGCTTTCACTAGTAGATTTTAAAGGATTAGAGTTGGCAGTTGTGATGATTGCGTTCTCAAATTCGAGTATGATTACGACATTCCTTTTCATAGTTCGAATTGTGAGAAATGACAAATAGTCTGAACATTCAGGACTTATCGCTATAAGCTCTGAAAAGGTTTAGACGCACACATAAGCTATCTATTGAAGGGTGTATGCGCTTGAGAAGTCCAGGAAAAGAGTTATCGAAACACCACGTATCAGAAATCTAAACTTTGGTAAGAAATTCAATAGGTATTGGTTTCTAGAAGTCCAGTTGATTTCTGAGTACATGTCAAAGCTAGTGGGAGCATAATTGTTATGCTGGTAAGAACATAATTGCTATGCTATTGGGAGCATGATTATTATGTAAGGTGTTGCAAGTTAGCAATGCTATTTATAGGAACCAAAGTTCTAAATTTGCAAAGTTGCAGAATTTGGAAATTGTTTCGCTATCGTAAGACTTAAGGGAGAGAGCACTAATATTTCATTTCGAATCTAATATCTTAGATTGAAATTTTAATGGAACTTAGTCATGAGAATATATGAATGTCATGTTGAAATGTTTCAACATGGGAAATTCTATATATGGAAATATTTTAGCAAGAGACTGGTCAAGTATCATGTCTTTATGTAAGACATTATGAATCGTATCCCATATGCTTCGAGTATTGGATCGATTACATGTGCTATAATATTCACATGTTCTGGTTTTTCCAAATGCCTAGCGCATTTAGAGGGAAAAAGGGACCGGAACCGAATATGACTAAAGTTGTTAAACGACTGTCAAGGAAAATCCAAGGTTTGTCAAGGATTGCTTGCTTGGGACAGTTGGAAGTATAGTAATGTGGGGACCATATTGATATAATTCTGAATAGATAGGATTCTGTTTAGAATGGATAGTCATATGACAATTACGGAAATGTTTCTATAATGGGAGTTGGATATGAAGAATCTATGTGTAAGTTAGAAACTTTAATGCAAGAAGGATGTTCAAAGGAATATACTTTGAATGTGAGACTTCATATCCAGGGAATTGTCTTGTAACAATCTCCAATGGAATGCTTTGTAATATCGTTGACCAAGTCTCTGTGACTTTGGAGCCTCGACATTACAAAAGGATCATCGAATAAAAGGTTAGACTTTAACACATTCTATTAGTGGAAATAATTTTGTATTCTTACACTTGTAAGGATTAGGAAATTGTGAAATGAGCATCATTGGAAATGAATACAATTGATCTATTTCACAAAAGAAGGACCATAGATAAACATAGTGTGCATGCTTGGAGCATGGGATGACTATTGTTTTAATTTAAGTATTTAGTTGATAGATAGAAACATTATACAATGAATAAGGTCTGATTAATATGGTAATTAAATAATAAGTGTTTTATTTATATTCAAAAATATTGAGACCATATTGAATAGGGATGAGCGTGGAACGGAACCGGTACCGACCCGTACCGTTCCTAATTTCCCGAAAACCCAATTTGGTCGAAACTCAATCCCGAGTACCGAACCGAATTAACATCACCGGTACTGGTACCGGTTTTTGGTACTAGTACCGGTACCAGTGGTATCGATTCCCGAATTTCATGTATTTGGAGTACCAAGTACCGTCCCATATTTTTACATTCGGTACGGTTCGGTACCGGTTCCGGTACGGTACCGGTACAGGATCGGGATTTGGGAAAAACTGCTCATCCCTAATATTGAATTCGCTTATTCTTGTGTTTCACTTCACATGTTTTACTTCCTGAATAATAAGATTATTCAAACATCCACAGTCAATCATACTGTTAGGAGTAAAATCCTTAATGATCGATTAGATTCAAGAACAGGTAAATCAAGAAGACAATGAAGATTCAAGAATGTCGAATGATTAAATGTCACGCCTCAGAAGAACTCGATAAGGAATTGCAACTGTAGAGGCGTGATTAGGGTTACAACGTGATAATCAAAGTTAACTAAAATATGATGCATGCATGCATCTTAAATACTCTAACCCTAGAATTAATAACGAGTGGACAGGCCCAACTTGATAATACAAAAGACTAAGTAAAAAGCCCAATGACGCAACATCTAATATCCAACAATCTCCCCCTTTGCGTCAATTGAGGCACGAAACCATTAGCCTTGGATTCGCTTCTGCACTTCATACACCTTCCGAATGATGGCAAAAATTGCCTGATGAAACTTAGTGTACCACAAGACCATATCTAAGAAGCACTTGAGGTCATCCTTGCTGTTACCTTTTAACTTGCCCACCAGGTCCAAAATATACTCAAGGAAGGATGTGGTATAAAGATGCTTATCAGAAAGAAAGAAGCACCCTTTGCGAAAGTTTGCTCCAGTTCGTTCCCTAGCAGAATAAACCACGAACCATTCTCCACTATAAAATTTTCCCAACTTCAACTTTTCAAAATCTTTAGGAGTTTCTTTGCGAACAACAGAAGGTTTCTTTCGCAGCACAACAACAACCTCAACATCCATCTCCCCAATCTCCTGAATATATGACTCTATCATTTGCTTGAGATGAGTCATGATAGGTTCATATTTTTCTTTGTCCTTCAACAACATGTTGTAAAGAAAAAACCAGTCATTGGGGTTAAGGCATGGTAAGTCTGCGAGAGTGAACTCGTAGCACTGGCTGGTTGAACCTCTTGCAACTTTGAACTTTACGTTCGAAAAGCTATCGGTCTCGATCGACCCTATAACTTTCACAGCGGTAATTTTACTCAATGACCAGTTTTCGTATTGTGGCTTCATATGCTTCAGATAAAATGAGAATAGCATATGATCAGCCCCGCTGTCTGTGAATGGAGCGTTCACCACTTTTACAAAAGAACGGAACCTGAAGGATTTTGGAGTTATTGGCAAATCCAGTTGCGAGTCTCGTGTGTTCTAAAGATCAAACGAAACTACTGGCTCTAACCAATACTGGCTTGGAAGATCAACAACATCACGCTGGATTCACTTCAAGGTCCATTTGGGGAACAAGATCTTTTTGCTCTGAAGAGTAGCCTGTGCTTATTTCTCAACCCTTTCCTTTTCTTCAGCCTCACGGATGATTCGCTGGTGCTCACCCAGTTCAGCTTCACGAACTTTTCGCCTTTTAAGTTCTTCTTCATCAGGTAGTTCTTCTTCTTCATTATCAAGAATGGGCTCCTCACTAAACAACTTTTCCTTGCCCTTGGGTTCTTTCTTGACAACGGGCTTGACAGGAGCTTTGGGTTCTTCTTTTCGTGATCCACCAGCCACACCTTCACCCTCTTGTTTCGGATGAAAGGATTGATCAAAAACACCTTGAAGGCGGTGAAGCATTGCAAAAACTGGCCTTAACTTTTCTGCCAGATGCTTACGCACTGTGATGGTGATCACAGAGTCCCTGGTCTCAATGATATCCGAGAGCATGCCGGGTAACATCAGTTATACAGCTTCGCATGACGACCCTCTCAGATAACAGATCATTGACCTGTTTCTCTGAAGCTTCCAGTTTGGCACGTAACACCTTTGCTTCTTCATAATTGAGTGCGAGAGAGTCCTTGATGTTACTCTCCTTTATCAGTTCGTCTTTAAGCTGTGAAATCTGAGAGGAGATAGTGGCTTGAAATGTTTCATGGTCAGTTTTCAGACCAGTGCGAATCTCTTGCAGTTTTGTCTTCTCAGTTTTGAAGAGAGAGCCTAGACTCTTCAACGCTTCATTGGCTGACGTGGTGCTGGCGTTGAAAGTGGTTTGAAAGGTCTCCATGAAAGCAGTAGTTTCATCAATTAGTTTATCGACTTTTTCGGTCGTGGACTTGCAAACCGCAGCAAAATCAGCAACAGCCTTGTTCATCTTGTCAGCATTGGCTGTATGCTCCTTCGAGATTCGTTCAAAGAGTGAATTTATCGTGGCTTTAGCATATGCATCAGAAGAGGAAGCCTTGACAGAGAGAATTAATTTGTCAATATTTTCATGAAGGGACTGAAGTTGCCCTTTCGTAACCTGCACCTCATCTCAACTCTCAGTCCGGATCTGAAAAGGACTGTAAGTAAACCCCCCAAGATCTTTGTCTTCATCGTCACCAAATACCATTTCTGGGTCACCTCGGTATCAGATACATTGACTGAAACCTGAAGTGTGAGCCCTCGTATCAGATACGTTGACTGAAACAAAAGGTGGGGTAGAGGTAGTTGGAGGTACTGTTGAATCAGTGAACAGTGGGATGGTGAGAGGAATACTGGTTTGTTGTTGTGATGACACTGGTGGAGGGTATGGGGCAATGGTAATTGCGATGGAGGTGTTTTTGGGTGAAGGAGGTGGAGAAGGAATAGAATCATTAAAAGTTTGAGTTACCTCAGGATTGGATGTCTCGTCTGTATTGTGAATGATTTCATCTTTTTTACGAGCTGTATCATCCTCCTCGTGGCGAATATCTGACGGAGTGTCAGACTCCGAACCTTCGCTTTCACTGGGTGTAGGAGCCTTTCGCTTGCGAGCCGGCTGCTTTTGCCTTTTGGGAGCAGCAGTAGAAGTTGTTGTTTGTGCTTTTCCTTTGGAAGGAGGTTTCGTAGTGACAGATGGTCCTTCCTTGTCAGTATATTTCTTCTCTCCCTTCTTCGAACCTTTTTGCCCCCCCTTTTTGGCTTTATCCGCCTCAGCAAGGGTAGCTTGCATTTCGTCTATTAATTCACGAGGCCCAGATGGAGTCAACTTCCTGTATCCTTCCAAGATCTTGCTAAAAGGAGGCACATCTCTAAACATAGCTTCTGGGATTGAGCCAATGAAGGAAAACTTGGAAGAATCTGAAACGATAATTCATGTAGTGTGAAAAGTAGAGATTGAGGCCATCAAGGTGTTTTGCATCACCAGGATCTGGTGCTTCTCAATGGAACGATTGACGATGAGAGTCTAGAAACGTGCATAAGAAATCTCACTGTGACGTGTGGTGGAGAGAGTTCTCTGAACAACTTGAGCCCATAGAACCGAGCCATAGTCGATGTTTGAACTAGTGTAGAGAACGTAGAGAGTGGCCATGAAAAGTTTGCTAGCACAGACTGATCCGGTGACCCTTTCAGAGAACCCCTTAAACTGTAGGATGAAGAGCCCATTCCACTGTGGAGGCAAATTGGCTTTTCTAAACTTCGAGATGGCAGTTAGGGTTTCTTTGTAACCCATTTGGTAGAACATCTCGAGAAGAGCGGCACTAGTTACCGACTCTGGGTTGATCATATCATCAGATTGAGGGAGTTGAAGGAGAGAACAAAATCGAGATTTTGTGATTGAGGTCTTGCGGTCGTGGATCTCGAACATGATTCTTTGTTCTTCCTTGATGTAGTTTGCTGATGAGTAAGCCTTAGACAGTAGTGAGAGAGGAACGTTCTCCATTCTTGAAAGAGTCATTGTGAGAGGAGAATACTTGAGGCACTCGATCATGGGTAGCATAAAGCTATCATACTTGACTGGATCAAGATCAATCGCTAGGTTTTGATGTTGTTTGATAGCCAGAAGAGAGGAATGTGCTGTTTGATCTTGAGCAGAGAAGTTTTCAGATCAATCCGCCATTGATGAAGCTTTGAGGAAGAAGATGAATAGTACTGCTTTGATCGCCGGAGAGTTTGAGAGTATTTTGAGAATGGTAATGAAGAATGAGTCGTCAAAACCTTTTTATACTGTTTGATTTGTGAGAGAAATCCGGAGAGAGAAAGCATTGGTTACTGAAACGTCACCTAAAAAAGCACGATTTGACAACTGTAAATGTCAGTTCCTTACGTCATGCGGCGATAAAGTAGTTGTCAATTCAAATTCACGTGCCCATTTGAATTCTTGTCAATAGAAAATGTCGCGTCAGCTTTGCCCTTTCGTAGTTGAGAGAGATTACATTCGTCTTGCTTGGAAATGAACATCATTGATTAAACTGCGAACCTGAAACAAACATAAGTACCACAAACCAGACTTTTTGAAAATCACAAGGATCTTTGTGCAAGAGTGTCAAAGATAAAGAAATAAAACACTGTTATGTGGGATATTGTGATGTCTCAATAAAGACATAAAACTGTGGATCCCAGGCAAATACCTCTTCCTTCAAAGTAAAGAGAGACTAAGAAGTGTCTGGGTGGTTTCTCGTTCAAATACGATCAACTGTTTGATAAGAAACATTGAAAGGCATCTTTTAATAAGGCTTAACGGGTGGCTATTTCTCCAACCAAACAACCAACTTGATATAAGTGCGAATGATGGATGAAGTACTCGTGTGACCAGTATAGTCAGTTGAACGAGTAGGATTGGAATTATTTAGGTGACAAGATTAAACTTTGAAATCTGGAAAAAAAATAAAACTGGATGTTATGGGTAGAAGTAACTTGGAATGAGAACACTTCATAAAGATCTTCCAAAAGAAAAAAGATTCCTTGGTACAGACCAGGAAAGTGTCTTTCGTTAATTCCATGGTGAAAATCTAGAACTTTTAATTGTTCGCCGTCAATTCATGTAAGGGTGTTGGATTTTGGGTTTCACTCAGTTCGTGGTGAACGAAGCTAAGATCATTAACACAAAAGTTGTGCAACCATAAACCTCAGTGGTATAGCTGAGTGTCTCAAGGGTTACATTTATGAGTGCGAAGTCAATGGAAAAGTGTGAAGGTGGTTCCAGAAAAGTGAATGTACCTCTGCTATACGAAAGTGACTAAGCAGATAACTCTTATCTCAAAGTGAGAAGAGTAAGGTAGCTCATGACGAATGTGAATTTAACAGCTTGGTTGAGAAGAAACGAATGGTAGATTAGATTCATTAAGGCTTCACATGGAGTCAATCGAGGCTTTGGACAACATACAACAGCATGCTTCTAGGGTAACTTAGCTAATACATAGATAATGAATGTTATACCTGCCCTATCACACAAATTTGTGCCTCCATGATCTTCTTAAGATATTTTTGGTATTTTTGAAATTTGTGAAAATAAAAGAAATAAAAATAAACATAAACAAAATATTTTTGTATTTTGAATTTTTTTTGAAAAAGAAATAAAAATAGAAAATATTAAAAGACAAAACAAGGATAAGAAGTAATATTCATAAAGTACAAAAGGATATTTGAAAATCTGAACCACCAATGAACTACAGACTGCGAACTACTGCGAGCGTTCGCACCGATTCACAGTGACAAAGTAGACAGTGAATGAACAGTGGACTACGAACTACTGCGAACGTTCGCACGAATTCACAAGATAATCATTATGTATGCGAAAGTGCTTTTGGAACAGATTCAGCTTCCATCATTCCAAGGCCTTGAAGAATTCTATTGAAGGTTGTTTCAGGTAAGGCCTTTGTGAATATGTCAGCCAATTGATCAGCGGATGTCAAGAAATGAATTTCAACGTTACCGTCTTCTACATGATCCTTGATGAAATGATACCTCAGTGCTATGTGTTTCGTCTTTGAGTGTTGCACTGGGTTGTGACAAATGCAAATAGCACTTTCAGAGTCACAATATAGTGGGATTTGTTTCGTGATTAAGCCGTAGTCACGAATCTAACTTGGAATCTAGATGACTTGAGATGTACATGAAGCAGCAGCTATATATTCAGCTTCAGCTGTTGACAAGGACACACACGTTTGCTTCTTGGATTGCCAACTGACAAGTTTGCCATCGAGAAATTGACATCCTCCAGTTGTGCTTTTTTCTATCTAATCCACATCCTCCAAGATCAGCATCCGAAAACACTTGAACGAAGAAGCCTGATTTCGCAGGGTACCATATGCCAAGAGACGAGGTTCGTTTCAAGTATCTAAAGATATTCTTGACAGCCACCATATGAGGTTCGCGTGGATTTGCTTGGAACCTAGCACAATAAAAAACAGAAAACATAATGTCCGGTCTACTAGTTGTTAGATACATTAATGATCCTATCATTTGACGATAAAGAGTCATATCAGCAGCTGGTTTTTCCAGAGATGGTGTCAGTTTCGTTCCGAATCCCATTGGAACCTTCGCTTTGGAGTCTTCCACCATGCCAAACTTAGCCAGTAAGGTCTTCATATATGCTTCCTGATTTATGAAAACTCCTTCTGGTCCCTGTCTTATATTCAATCCAAGGAAAAAGTTAATTGGACCCATGGAACTCATCTGAAATTTAGTTTCCATCAACTTTCGGAATTCAGCTGTTAATCTAGGATTCGTAGAGCCGAAGATGATATCATCAACATAAATTTGGACGATCATTAAGTGGTCACCCTCTTTCTTGCGAAAGAAGGTTGGGTCAACCGAACCTTGTTTAAATTTAGACATTTTAAGAAAACGAGTGAGAGTTTCATACCAGGCTCTCCGAGCTTGCTTCAGACCAAAGACTGCCTTATCCAAGATGTAGCAATGATTGGGATACCTGTCATTAATGAACCCATGTGGTTGTTCCACATATACAGTTTCTTATAATTCTCCGTTTAAGAATGCACACTTAACATCCATCTAAAACACCTCAAAGTTCTTGTGTGCTGCGTATGCAAGGAAAATGCGAACAGATTCAAACCTTGCCACATGTACGAAGGTTTCTTCGTAGTCAATGGCTTCTTCCTGACAATATCCCTTAACCACGAGTCTTTCCTTCTTTCTTATAATGTGCCCTTCTTTATCCATTTTGTTGCAAAACACCCATTTTAAACCTACAACCGATGCATCTGGTGGAGTTGGAATTAGCCTCCAAACTTTGTTTCGTTCAAACTCATTGAGTTCGTCTTGCATCGCTTGCACCCAATCATAATGATCAAGAGCAGT